TTGTCCAGATTTTAACAATACATGTTCATGCGGTCATACAAGGTGCAAAACCCTAATATTATTCATTCATAACCTATGCCTAAGTACCACTTATTCAAGGTTAATCAGGGTGATCACGCAAACATGGAAAAAATTAAAACCAAGTATTGCAGTCATAAGAAAATCGGATCACAAAGAAACAGGTTTTAGGGTTCCAATTGCACAACTTAACAATTCCTTTCAAGTTTGGTTCTAAAATAAATTTAGCAAACAACCACATAGTCTCAGATACCATAAGATGATGATATCTTTCTAAAATACAAATTTCAAGTTTGGATATGGTCAATTTATTGACTTTCAAGCCGCCTTTTAAACCGGCAGTTTTTGGATTTTAATTGGACCCTTAGGAAAGCCCATTACTTATGACGCTACTGTGTCTCACTCTATAGCATCTCGCAGGAGACGAAGGATTACAAGAGATTGATAAGGCAGCATTTGGACATTAAAACAATAGATAAAAGGATGGAGAAAGGATCTTATGCTTCTTCAAGTCTCTCCTTTTACAGAGACCTCAAACTTCTCTTCACAAACGCCATTGTTTTCTTTCCTACGTCTTCCTCAGAATACATGGCTGCACAAGAGCTCAGAACCCTCATCTCTAAAGAGATGAAGAAAGATACTGGAAAATCGAGTCATCGTATCATCAAATCAGAGGGTGGGTCTTTGGTTTCTAAACAAAAAACTTCTGCTCCTCTTGTTGTGTGTAAGAAGAAGAGCTCTGCTTCGAGAAAAACCTTTCCTTCCTCCTCAAGCTTCAAAGAAAAAAATGAAAACAAAGTTTTTGAGGATAAGGATGTGACTATCACTACTACAAGAAGCTCGAGGAGAATAAGCAAAGATATTGACGTTGTAGCCAAAGATAACAAAATGGGAAGATCCAAAAACAATAACAAGAAACAAACAGATTCATCAAGTGATGATTTTGATAAGGAAGAGACTCCTAAGACAGTGAAGAAGATAGCATTAGAGAAGAAGAAGAGTGTGGCTGAATTCTTGAAGAGAATCAAAAATAACTCTCCACAGAAAGGAAAAGAAACAACAAATAAAGATCAGAAGAAGAGTGATAGAAATATTAAGAAAGAGAACAGTAAAGCAAAACCGAGGGAACTGAGGAGTAATAGCACCGGTAAAAGGAAAATTGAAGTAGAGAATACTGAAAATAAAAGTTCATTGAAACGAAAACAAACGAAAAGGAAAGCAGATGAAGTGACTGTTGCAGCTACGGGAAAACGAGGTAGGGAATCAGGAAAAGACAAACAAGAGTCAAAGAAGAGAAGCAGAAGACAAAATTGATTTGTAAGTGGTTAGTTATTGTATAGTTGATATGCCAGAAGTATTCATAAACCCTCTTAGCATAAGTGTTTAGGAGTGGTTGATCGATCTTGTTGGTTATGTGTTCTCATAAATTACAAGTTTTTGTTTAACCTATGTTTCCCTTGTTAGAGGGTTTATGGTTGTAGTCTTATAGACATGGTCTTCACAATATTTTCTTGTCTTTGTTAGTTTGATAAAGATTCACAAAACCTGACACTAATTAAACTGTCTTTAACGAGAGACTAGAGGCCCAAAACGTTAAAGAAGTGTTATTGTATTAGCCCTTTTCCCAATATCGTATCGATTAAGTTAAATTGTTTAAGCCTAAGGTTATTTTAAGAAAATTTACAATCAAGTGCAAATGCTCTGGCCTTGGATCTCAACTTAGGTTTGTAAATTATTAGTTACATTATAGAATATACAATCAAATAATTAGGGGGTTAGTGAGAGTAGAATTTTTGTAGAATTGGTTGATTCTAAATATCAAAAGATTTGTTAAATTTGTAAAGATCTCTAAAGAGTTTTTCATGTTTAAAAAGTTTATGAAAACATAGTTGAGGAATCTAGAGGACAAATGCAATTCTTTAAAACTAGATTTGATGTAAAATTAGAATCTTTAAAACTAGATTTGATGTAAAATCTAAACTATTAAAACTGAAGTACAATTAGTACTTAACCCTGATTTTTCCTTAATATTTACCATTCTATGCCACTATTTTAATAATAACTATCTATTTAATACAGTCTTTTATTACTTTAAATAAAACGTAACCGATTAACATAACTTCCTTCCGATATTTACTGTAGTAATTGACTCTTGAATAATGAACTTTTTTNAATCTAAACTATTAAAACTGAAGTACAATTAGTACTTAACCCTGATTTTTCCTTAATATTTACCATTCTATGCCACTATTTTAATAATAACTATCTATTTAATACAGTCTTTTATTACTTTAAATAAAACGTAACCGATTAACATAACTTCCTTCCGATATTTACTGTAGTAATTGACTCTTGAATAATGAACTTTTTTGCTTCCTGAAATGATTCTCTGTATACATTGACTTACCACACCTGTAAAGTTATATTTTACATAACATATTGACCAAAAACGTGTTATTGAGTTTTCTGTATACATTGACTTATTGACATTTTATTGTTTCACAACTAAAAAAACTAATTGTACACCGTACGATAATTTAAAAACATTAAGTTTCAGTAGACAATCGGTTCATATATTGTTTTAGAGAAAGTTACAAATATTTTTTTTTCATAAATCAAGTCTAATTAGTAATTTCAGTATCATCTACACTATTTAAGTTCCTTATTGAATTTTTAAATTAGTTACAAAAAAATACTACAACTATATTTATGGCTAATAAACACATAAATTATTTTAAAAATATTTATGGATAGTATCTAACTAACTACCCATCATCCCATCGAAATATTGTATATATCTCCAATTTTTGGGATCCATATGTTAAATTATTAGATCCAAACTAATCAAAGCTCATAGAAAAATACGCTAAACCCACTTTTAATCTATGTTATAAACGGATGCGCGGAAGCAGAATCGTATGGAAACGTAGAATCGAGATTTTTTTAAAAAATTAGGAAGCGGGTACGTGTTGAAAACGTATATCCATATATATATATATAAATATAAAAAATTATAAAATTTTTATCATAATTTTAAATGATTGCATATTATAATTGTAAAAATACAGATAAATTAAGTTTCTAAACAAATATTACCAATTAGTTTTTTTTTTACATTTTATAAATAATTGGCACATCATGTTTGAATATATATATATATATATATGATATATCTCTAATAAAAACAGTGCATACATATATGGCACATCATATTTGAATANTGAAACATATATTTAATAAAACCCAAATATATTTAAAACATCAATCTTCTATGATACACCTCATTATGCAAATCACCAATCTTATAGGATACACCTCATTATGCAAATCATCAATCTTCTTAAAAACAAAATATTATAATATATTTAATAAAACCCAAATATATTTAAAACATTAATATTTTACCAAATAAACTAAATACAAACACAATAAAAGAAAAATATAAACTCATAATTTAAAAATGAAGGCTAATTACATTGAACAAGACATGTCAATGTCAAATCCTGAATAAAATATGAATCTATAACATAACAAACATCTAAACTATTTAATTTATCGCATTTTTGAATGTTAAGAACATATGATTATGAAGAACAAACACCCGTGCGGACGCACGGGTTAAAAACTAGTTAGAATATTTAAAACTAAACTTTTTGAAAACAATAGATTTTGTAAGTCATTAAGCAATCATCAAACCAGTAACACTAGATTTTAATAAGAAGGTTAAAATCCACTAACTAATAATAATAGAATTTTAACAATCATTACAAATTCTTATATATTTCAATAACAATAGAATTTGAAAAATTTAACAATCATTACAAATTCATATCCTACTAACAATAAATTTGAGAATTTGATATATATTCGTATTCTCCATAATAGAAGAGCTTAAGCCATCAGCATTGGGCATAAGCTCAACTGAATGATCTCTTGTTAATAAATTAAAAATTCTAAATCAATAAAAAGAGACAAGTGTAAATCAAATATCTCAACTCTAAAACATGTTTTGATTTCTCCAATGAGCGATTATATTCATGTATTTTTTTATTTCCTTTTCAGTTTGTATTTTTCTCTAGTTCATATTGAAAAGTATTTGGTGAGAGATTCAACCAATATTTTTTATAGGCATGTGATTTCGATTTATTCGGATTGAGTATTTTGGTTAGTTCGTTTCAGCCATAATTCCACCTAAATAAACTGGAAAACCGGTTTGGTTTATGTGTAATTTTGGTTTTATATTTTTTCTGAAAAGAACCAATCTTTTAGGTTCGGTTAAATTTTCGTATAAATTTTTTAAAAAAAACTCAGGTTGTTTCAGTTAAATTTGATTATTTCGGTTAGTTTGGTTATTTTGGTTCAATAATATTGGTTAAGTTTTGGTTATTTTTATGTTTGCTTTTTGAAAACCAAACTGACTAAAAATCGAACTGAGAATTGAAAATTTTCAAAAGTTTTCGGAACCAAACCAATAAACCAAACTCAAAACCAAAAGTGAATCAAAAATTTTGGTTAGGTTCTCTTCAAATCCACACAGCTTTTATGTTAAATTTGATGTTATGTTTAGATTATTTTTTATTATTCTATTTATATTATGACAGTTCTTTGAATTGTAGTTTTATTTTTTTTCTTTTTTCTTATAGGTAAAGTGTTTCACCTTTATTATTTATATTGAGTTTATGATTGCTATACAAAGGGAGAGTTTTTTCTTTATTTTAAAATTTACTTACTCATTTCTACGATCTAAATCAAGTATTTAAAAACTATAACAAAACTTGTATTATTATTTTTTGTATTACATTTACGCTTTAAAAAAAATTATAAGTTATGATATATATGACAATTTTTAGAAACAAGAACAATTATCGAACCGTAGATTATTTTTGGATAGAGTTATAGTTAAGACATTAATTCTTGATAGTGTTTTTCAAGGAACATCTTTATCTTTGCACAACAATATTGGGCTGGGTCGATCTACTCAGGCCAGTGGCCTTGTTTGTTATGAATTTAGAGATACGTTGGTTTAACCAAAATACTAATTAATTGTGTGCAGACCGGTTTGATCAATATTGTGAATGTGTATCTTTTATTTCAGTCTCGAGTCATAACCAAGAACATTTGAACCATATTTTTAATAATTAGACAATTTCAAAAATGGAAAGAAATAATAAAAGTTTGAGACTAAACTTACCTTTTGATGGTCATTGTTGTACATATTGCATATTTCCTATTAATTAACACGATTTGGAGATAATTAAGTTATTTCTCAAACCCAAATTCTAATTTATCTACAAAGCATAACAAAAAGTCGAAGTACCCCTACCACATAAAACAAAATTAGCGAGAGATGAAGAAAATTCCAAGTGTCAAGTTAGATTCCACTATTAAGCGGAAAGCGGTCCAAGAAAAGGTCCCATACCAAAAATGTTAACGAATATATTATAACCGCAAAATGCTTTTTATTACTAGGTAAAGTCCAAAAATAAATAAAGTATTGTGGCATGCTGTAGAATATATCATTTTTTTGGGCACCCTTACAAACCATACAAAACTTAATTATGAGATTTCTACGAAAGAATACAGTTTGCGATGGTTGGCAGTGTTCAAAGTTGTTCCACATACTGCGCACCACTTTCCTTGACTAATTCGAGTTTACTGGTCAACACACTAATTCAAACTTTAATCAATTATAAGTCGGCTTCATCCACCAACATGTGCGATTTATAATGCAATCCATAATGCACCGATATGGAAATAAATCAACTCTATTTTACAACGATAATAAAATTAAGGAAAAAAGTTTCTCAGCTACATGAAGTTTACACTAATATGGTGGAAACCATCCAATGTATAAAAATGTGTTAAGAACTACACGAAGTATATGTTAATACATACCACATGTACGAAGTAAACGATATTATGGTGGCAACATTACAATCGGATTTAATTGTTCTTAAGTTAAGTTAATGGGGTCAATCCGTAATTTATGAAACTTAATAAACTTAATTGATTTTAATTATTAAAGTTAATAAAATTAATAAACTTAATAACATAATAATTATTAAAACTTAATAAAATTAATAAACTTAATTTTTTTTTGTTAAACTTAATAAATTTATTAAACTTAATAAATTTATTAAACTTAAATAAAATTATTAAACTTCATAAACTTAATAAACTTAACAAACTTAATAACTTATAAACTTAATAAGTTATTAAACTTAATATACTTAACAAACTTAATAAAATTAATGATTTATTAAGTTTAATACATCTTATTAAGTTTAATAAATCTTATTAAGTTTATAAAGTTT